CCAGAACTACTATCTTGCCAGTGCAGTAGGTCCTGCAAACTTCCATCGTGCTCCTGTATTGTCAATGGGCTGAAATGTACTGATATGTGCCTGCTTCAAGATTGCACAAACAGGCCAGATGACGACGATGTTTTATCCGTTGACGACAATGACGATGGAGAAAGCGAAAGGTAAGAATCTCATAACCATAGGAAAAATATGAAATGACTTTCCTTATACATACTCTTACATTCGCAAGGTTTGTTTCGAACGATGTACTCTTTTCAATGTATCGAGTAACTGTTTGTGGTTGTCACGGCAACCGCTAAATGCTTTAAAATAACTTAGCTGCTATTTTTGTCTGAAATTAAACCTGAGTCTTTGTTTACATTTAAGTGAAAATGATGCTTGACTGACGCGAAAAGGACAAGTCTCCAATGTGTTTGGTACTGGGATGGCTTCAGAATGGATGATATCAGGACAAAGAAGACTCGTTAAGCGAGCTCTTTAAAACTCATTAGCTGAATAGTTAATCCAAGCCAGCGCTAGAGTGATCTACACATGATTGAACTTTTTGACAACGTATNGTTTTATCCGTTGACGACAATGACGATGAAGAAAGCGAAAGGTAAGAATCTCATAACCATAGGAAAAATATGAAATAGCTTTCCTTATACATACTCTTACATTCGTAAGGTTTAGTTTCGAACGACGTACTCTTTTTAATGTATCGAGTTACTGTTTGTGATTGTCATGGCAACCGCTAAATGCTTTAAAATAACTTAGCTGTTATTTTTGTCTGAAATTAAACATGAGTGTTTGTTTACATTTAAGTGAAATGATGCTTGACTGACGCGAAAAGGACAAGTCTCCAATGTGTTCGGTACTGGTACGGCTTCAGAATGGATGATATCAGGACAAAGAAGACTCGTTAAGGGAGCTCTCATTAGCTGAATAGTTAATCCAAGCCAGTGCTAGAGTGATCTACACATGATTGAACTTTTTGACAACGTATATTGCAGTTGTTATTTTTTTAAAATTAGGAAGCGAAAAGCCTTATTATCAGTGACTTTTATTTCAGTTGTGGACTCATTGACCATTTCCGTCTCCATGGCAACGAGACAACCTTAAAAAAATTTCCTTCTTTTGCAATTGAATCAATGTCATATTCTGCTAGGCCTAAAATGTATAAAATGTTGTTTGAAGAGAATTGTACAATGCACATCGCTCAGAATCTGAAGCTGTTAACCGGATCCATGGTCATTAGGCAGTTTATATGACGTCATTTTATCACATGTTTAGAGCAAGAAAGCTACTGATAGAAGCTTGCTATCATACCTTAAAATTGACTTCAGTTATTGCAGATTGAGAAAATACGTGATAGCACTGGTCCCTCCACATGGTACAAAAAAACCACATTTGGGGGTCTTGGCCCATGGACTATAAGTACTCTATTTTATTTTCAATTACTTGCTTTTCTACTTTTTCCCGTGGTTTATATTAGACAAAATGTTGTTTCCATGACTACTAAATATACATAGTCTCTTAAATTTCCAGTAAAAGAGTGTCAGTCCCTACATGACGTCTTGCATCGTGAGACTAGAAATGGTAACAACCTAAACAAGAAATAGTGTTGATGTGATTCCAAATTCTCACACCTAAAATTAAAATATCATTATGGAGAATTGACGTTTTCCAGCTTTGTAATTAAACGTATTAGAAAGGGCTGCGTATAACACAGTGGATAAGAATTTAAACTCGGTAGAGGGTGATTTGAAACTATCAGCTGGAATTTGGATTTGCAACCGAACAGTAAATACTTTCCACAATCGTGTACAACTGGTCATCCAAGGTTTTCAGGACAATGAATGTTTTTCGTTTCTTTAACAAAACAACAGCACCTAACATCAAGCTGTTTACTAACCATGAAGGGTGTGGTAGTAAGTATAGATAGCTGTATTTATAATTTCTAGCACGATAAGGCACCAAGTCCTGATAACAAATGAAAGTAGAATAATATTATTGGGAAAGATTAGAATACATTTCGATGTTTGTTTCGTCAGACCAAGAATCGACTTTAAACAATGTTCCTCAGTGAAAACTGATTGAAAAGAAGTTCAGTGGCGGATCCAGACTTTGAGCTAAGCGGGGGCGGTTTTGTTTTACTTGCCCTGCCAGCTTTTCTGCCTTCAGTCATTTCTTCTTTATTCACCCAAAACCAAAATAAGGGGGGCCCGGGCCCCCCAGGCCCCTCCCCTAGATCCGCCACTGAAGTTACACGACACCCGGTGCTGAAGTGCAGTCGTTTAATGTTACGATGACTTCGCCAGCTCGTTTCTATACTGAGCTTAAACTATACCAGACATTCTACTTGAACCGGGCCACGTAGAAGAAAACTAACCAAACAAAACGTAAAATGAGAATAATGGTTTGGTAGCGTCTCGTGGCGTCAAGTAACGGTCTGTTTGATATTAAAACACAAACACTATCAACTCCTCTGCGTTATATACACTCTTAGAGATTCCGTCCTTGACGGCGAATTATCATATTTAAACATCTCGCTCCAAAAATCTAGCTTGAAACTCATTTTGCGACAACTAAACCGAAACCGTTGAAAAGCGGACAAAATTCTGGATCGAAACTACCCAATCAATAAATGGCAAAGTTTCCTGAGAGGTTCGCAACACTTCGCACTTTGTTGGGTTTTCAATTTTTTACGCCTGTTGTTCGTATTCTTCAATGTTATTGGTTTACTTGAGAAAAAGATCGCTATCCTTTGTTTTAAAGTAACGTGCAAATTGGTTAACTTTTTTCTCAGTGGCTCGGTTTCAGTAGTCGCACTGGAACTATACCAGACATTCTAAGCTAAACACGAACATTAAAGTTGACGAACCCTTCAATCGAATCTGCAACAAACCGTTCAAAATGTAAGGTTTCGCTTTTTATTCCTTCAAGGAACAAGTTGAATTCTAGTCCTCGCATCCTATTTTTTCTTTCTTAGTCCTGGGACGTGAGCACATTCACCATCTTTGATGTCTGCCTCATTTTCCAAGTCACCAAAAAACGATTGGGCTGCCATTGACGTTTCACTGCTGCTTGGATCTGTCGAAAAAGGTAAAAGGTAAAGTCTGCATACGAGCCAAGTGACCCATCAGGCACGATCTTAATTATCCCGGTTCCCTTAGCATGAAACGACCAGGAATATTTCCACTCCCACCTGGATGAGATGCTACTTCATTGCAGGGTTACCCCCAGCATTAAATTCGCCGGTACCCATTTATACACCTGGGTGGAGGGGCACTGTGAGGGTAATGTGTCTTGCTTAAGAACTTAACACAATCTCCCCCGCCAGGATCGAACCCAGACCGCTCGATCCGGAGACGAGCGCACTAACCATGAGGAAATCGCGCCTCCACGGATCTATCAAGACTGTCCAAAATAAACAAATAAACAACCTAATCGACCTGGAAACACGGACAGTAAATCAAGTGACCGCACCCATTCGAACTTGTGAAAAGGATAACCTTTGAGCCACTAACGTAAAATTTCAAAATAAGGATATTTTTGCCCATCTATTTCGTGTTGAAGAGAAATTGGGTAAATTCTCGTTCTTTGATCATTACATCGTTGTCACAGTTTGTATCCCACTGATTCTAACCCCGCGTGTAAGTCTCTGCACGGGGTTAAAATCAGTGGTATAGAAACTCCCAAATAATTTTTCTCCCAACCGATACGTATGAGCCAAATTCCAGTTAGGCCTTAGTACGTGGTAACAAAATGATAAAAAAAAAAATTGAGAATGCGAGAAAGAAGTAGAGAAATAAGGACACCCAAAACCGACTTCCAACTAACCTGATTCTCGAGAGCGTGTTAATTGAATTTCCTCTTCGCAAGTTTTCAAGGCGTCTCCTAAGGATATGATGGCTTTCTTGAACGATTCCAAGTCTGCCCAGTTACAGTCTTGTTGGATCCTGGCCTTTACTTCAGTAATGAAATAAGCAGCTCTGTTGACTTCATCCACCTTGGTACTTAACAGAGTCAAAGACTTCCCTTGATGCTCCGCCGTTCTCAGAAGATCTGTAGCCTCGATGAGTAGATTGTTTAGCGTACCTTGGTATGGAAGGAGCTCTTCTCGGAATAGCTTCTTATAGGCCTCAAAATGTTCCACTTTCTTCCAATGATGACTATCCTTCGCTAGATGACGAGCGCGGCTCCAGAAGCGGTGAGGACTCACTTGGCTCCACTGTTCTACAGAGCCACTGGCACCAATATCGGTACATTCGAACTGCCTCCTCTCGTTTTCTAACACGTGCTGAGAGTTTTCACCTTGGTCTGGACCAAAACTCACGTTGCAAATACCACAACCAGATCGATCAACTCTAAAGGGTCTAAAGTAGATATCAAACGGATCTTCAACGACTTCCTGCTCAGAAGGAATCTCAACTGCTCTCGCTTCTTCTGCTGCAATCTCTTCTTCCCAGGACTCTGTTTGAAGGGTCTCCACCCTTTCTATGGCCTCGAGCCTTTCATGTCTGGTGTGATCCACGTCTCCGCTGGGTTCTCCTTCCTCTAACTGTCCGCCAAACTCGGCCATCAAATTATCTTCCACAACGCCTGACTTCAACCCTTCTTCAGCTGAAAGATCTTTCGTTTCCTGGCCCAATGTTTCCAACACATCAGTGTAGAAGATACAAGGGTAGTTATTGGGGTTCACTTTGTCCCACCAAAGTCGCTGGTGGACGTTTTCCCAATGAACATCGGATAGAATCTCGCGTCTTTTTTGTAATAGATCCTGAAGAATGACCACAATGTTGCGAATCCCTTTGGCCTGCTTAACCTGCTTCAGACATCTTCCAATCCTCTCTGGAAGAGTGACATCACTGGGCAATTCAGCGTTCAGGTTTTGAAGAAGCCTGGCCTCGCTGTCGGGTGGAACTGACTGACCGCAGTTGCAAAGAAGGGTAAGGACCAAAATTACCGCACGCTCTGTCTCGCCAGATTCAATGCAAGAATTGTTAAAGACTCCCTTTAACAAGTTGAAATCCACAGAATATCCTCCCAGCATAAGTGATACCACATATTGCAGAAACTTCTTTACTTCACGAATGGTGGATGGATGACTTGGGTACATCAAAGCCGCTCGGTAAATTCCAATATGCTCCGTAGTTGTACAATTGAGAGAGTCCCAAAAAGAGATAACCGACGAGTAGCTTGCAGGAAGACAAACAAGATAGCGAGACTTTAGAGACTGCTGCAGTCGAGCGAACAAAGCTAGGTGGGCACAAGTGACGTACTCCAGGATGTCAAGACAGTTTCTAGGCGACGGGAAAGGAAGCTGTTTTCCTGGATTTGCTGTCATTGACAGAAAGCGGCGAACAGCATGGTGTCCAGCCTTAAGAATGTCACCATCAAAATGCAAATAAATCTTGGAATCCTCCCACCATTTGGAAAACAAGGTGAGCTGTGTTCCCCTCTCTACAGCAATACCCACGGATTTTGGAATAACCAGTTTGTTGATCTCATGGACGCCGCAGTTTTTTCTAAATGTCTCCACTACTTTCCCAATCCACGGCTGGATACTGAATGGTACCCCGATTAGCTGAAGAAGATGTGAAACAGCCAGAAATGAATCAGCACTCGAAAGGATTTCTTCCCTGGTCGCACGCTTATTCCACAGCACTTCGGCAAACTTAAATAGACATCTCTTGTGAAATTCACACTTCTCATCTCGCAAACGAGAGATACAAGATTGTAAGCAAATACTGGATGATTTGCCATGTGCAGGAAAAAAGAACGCCAGAAGTTTTCTGCATGATGCAAAGGTATCCAATGGAAACAGGTCGTCCAAACTTTCCAAATGCCCGTGGAAAATCCAAGTGTTCTGGTTGCGAAATTTCTTCGCCGTTTTGTGAAAATCGTTAGCTTGAGCGTCAAGCCAGATTTCATCCAAAATTGCTCTGAAACGTTTATCATTGCTATCCTGGGACGGAAGTTTGTATCGGTACTGGCAATTCTCAGCTTTGCAAGGAAGGCCGACCAAACATTTCTGGCATGTCTCGTGTGTGACAAATCTGTTGTGCAAAACCCCACGAACAAGTTTAATCAGTTTGGCGACTCTGTGAAAAAGGACTTCAGCGATACGTTCATGAGCATCATAGAGATCCACCTCCCATTTGTTGCCGGGAGCAGGACGCTTCTGCATTCCTTGGGTAAAGGAAAGAAACCGATCATGTTCTTTGCGACTAACAACTCGCTTTGATGGATCTCCTTCCCTGTAAAGTCCAAAGTGTTCCTCGCATAGCTTGATTTGTTTCTGTGTCATTACGTCCAGATTACTCCCATTCAGTGATTTAATCAACTGCAGAACGGATTCCACCATTTTGACCGCAGTCCAAGTGTCCCCACCAGGAACACCCTGTTCATCACCTGCAGGTTCCCACAGCAATTCAACGCATTCAAGCTCACCACAGGTGTTTTGGGATGTGCGGAAATTCGTCAAAGCCTCCTCCACTTTCATACGATCCCCAGACAGTCTGGCCTGATGTAAAAGAACTTCACCAACACTGTTCATCCGGTCTGCATCCTTGTAGAACTTCTTAGCTTCTTCTAACCGTTCAATTTGCTCCTCCTTTGATATATCCAGTGAGCTACGAACATAAGCGAAAATACAATCAGCTGCAAGACTTGAGTCATCAGAGCGTCGAGCGTATTCAGCCGCAGCAAGAAATGATCCGTTTTCTTTCATTATCTTCGCAGCTTCAACTCCTCTTCCTTCCTTCAGTAACTCCCCTGCAGCGTCGTCGACCAAGTTACGCTTTTTCAAAAACCCGACTCGTACTTCGACAGAGTCGATGTCCTGGAGTGAATTTTTCATTTTTTCCATGTTGCCAGCTTTAAAATGGAGTTCGGCGGAGGCCAAGTACAATTCTTGAAGAGTTCTCTGTGGTGCAAAGGGCTGTTGGCGATTAACTGGTGACAGTCTGTTAAACCTCTTCAGGACATCAATGGCCTTGTGGTATAGATTTCCACGAACAAGGACCTCAACAGCCTCTTTGTAGTCTCCAAAGTTCTCCAGGCACTGACTTGCTCCTAAGAAATTACCCCCTCTTTCAAACCACCTTGCTGCAGTTTTGTCCTACAAAAAAGGAAAAAAGACCATTAATGAATTCGATCAATATCGATACATTCCACTGTAATATGGCATGTACTTGTTAGTCTTAATAATCTTAACCAATAAATCAAGTTGAAAAACGTAATTAGAAACGGCGTCAATTTCATCACTGCCCCCTGAAAAGATCCACTCCCTGGTTAACCTCTAGATTCCAACTTAGTGAGGTGGTTTAGCGAAAAAATCGTTACCGATTGGAAGAAAGCACCAAATTTAGCACACAAACTCCTTACAATACTGCAAACAAATTTGGGCTGGGTGCCCTGTGATCCGGTAATGCGGGGGGGGGGGCGGGGGGACCATCTGCAGGCTTGTGCACTAGATGCTACTCTGGTAAACTTCTCTTATTGTAAAGCCGCGTGTTGTAATAGCTCGTCCTGCATATGCAAAATTAGAAATCAGCTTAGTTACTTCTGTTCCTTTCGTTACACACTTATTAGTATAAAAACAGTAGACTATGTCGAAGTGAAAGTCTGAATCTCACTCCTTACAAAATCTCGCGCACTCGATTTGCCTGTGTATTAGGTATGTTCCGTAGGGTTCTGTTCTTGTTAACGAGATTTCTTTGCAGGCTTCATTCACGTTGAACCCATTGGTGTCATTGCTGAGCTTGTTGTAAAGAAGTACACTAAATCGTGCCAGAGGCTTGAAGATTGAATCATTCTTGATCAGCTCGTATTAAGGGTGATCTTGCAGGAACTTAAATGCCTCTATCATGTCATGAATAACTTCCATGCGTTCCAGGCGGAGGTCTTATCCTTGCCAAAGAAACAGGAGGTCGTGTTGCTTCCAATGGATGCGTACAACATTGGGAGTGCCCGATATGTTTAAGGGCCATGAAATGCGTAGGTAGAATTCACAGTAATGTACTGGACATATTTCCCCCTACCCAAATCAATCCAGATAGCGCTGCAGACGGATACAAAGCGATCGTATCATGAAAAAGCTTTATCAGTATGACAAGAACATCTGACTATCCACTGTGCAGACAAAAACCTGACCGCACACTTTGTTCAGCGCCTGTTGAACATGTACAGCTATCCTTGTGTCAGTTTCTCTATGGTCGCATCTCTACTTTCTTGATCTCAAGAAAATGGAAGTTTGCAACTCTGCTTGTCAGGAGGGAAAAGAGTTCTTTCTTGTTGGTATTGTCTAAAGGAGTTGCTTTCCAGTTTGGACGATTTTGTGACCTTGAGATGGAGATAATTCATAATGAATGAAATAAAGACGTTTTCTGCGCAGCTATCGAATATTTGTGGATGCAACTGATCCATTAAAGATCTGACAATCATAGAGCGGAAGTAGATCAGGCCGCTTTGTACTCACTGCTTAACGCATATGTCAAGAGGCCTGAGTTCTTCCCGAATCTTAGCTTCCCATGCTCGGATAGAGGTGGTAGGTAGGATTAGTTTTCGTGTATGAAAAAATCATCATGGAATCCACTTCGATGCTGGATGGCTATGTACGACCATGTAAATACAGCTGAGAGGGTTGCATCGCTTCTCAATGCACTTCCTTGCTACTTCGACTTTATTATACCTTCAGATCGGCAATTTTCTTCAAATTTGGATTTTTGGGTCAAAGTAATGGTCGAAGAGTAATCTCTAATTTCTGAAAAAAAAATTGGAAAAAACTAAATACTGGCGGAGAAATGGAGGTTTTATGTTATGGCCGGAAGTAAAAGTTCCCTCTTGATTGACAGCCCTATAACGCGTATGCAATCAACCGAGACGACTTCCGCGGGAATATCACCTATAAGGATACCACGAATTGGCTGGCTACCCACCTCTACTCAGTTCATCAGCATTGTTAATCCAAGCATTTTTCGTATTAGGTGTAATTCTATTAAGTTAAAAGTAAACATGGACCAAGGAAAACTACGTGGACCAGTTCGAAAAAGCGAAAACAGCGAAGAGCGAATGAAAATACATCTCGGACTGAAGAAGCGAAAATTGGTCTCGCAGATGAAGCTATGGCTATCGTATCAAGCGGGCAAAAAGATCGAGTCAAGAGAAGAGAAAGGTTCTGTGAAAATTTGGGAACTTGACAGCGATAACAGCGATTTTTACAGTGACTCTTCTGTTAAGTCCGATACCGATGAATTGCCGGACTCATTGAGATCCATTGGAATATNGCCTTTAACGTAACAGGTTACGCGAATTTTTCGATAGTCGAACTTGACAGATCTATAAAAAGATAACCAATAGAAATAAAAGAAAATGCTGACACGTTTGTGGAGATTGAGGCTTTGTGATTAACACTGCACCGTTATTATGCATGAACGATCGCATTTGATACCCGATTGATTCGCTGGAACGTCAGTCGGTCATTTTGGAGTTGACGGTCTCTGCCGCCTTTGGAAAGCAAAATCCAAAACAAAACATGATTTTATCGAATTCTACATTTTATAACCTTTCTGTTGATATGTAGTTTGTGAGGGTTTCCTTGAAAACAGCGCGAGTACGAATTTTTTTCTGGAGGACTCCCGCGAAGGTTTGAAGTAACCTTAAACCAAAACCGATCCTCTACAGAATTCCCGTATTTGGCACCTTTTGCAAATTTTCCCGCGCTTGACACTACTCGTATCCCTTACATACCTAGCAGCGATTGCATATTTTTCTAGTTCTTCAGTTTTTCATTTGTTAATCATAAAAATTACAATTTCCTCGATAGTGATTGGTTTAAAAAAACTCCACTCCTATTTTCCACTAATTCACTTGCCAAGTTGTTATCGGACAGTTTGTTGTTGGACAGTTTGTTATCGGACAGTTCAATACGCCAATCACATTCAAAGTTGTAGTTTCACAACCTTGGTTTCAATCACCATAGAAACAGTGTACATTTACACCTCCTTTGTCAGTCTTTTGATGACATTTTCCCTTTCTTTCATAACTTAGCTATTCTTCTTTTTTCGGCCGAAATTGTAATTTTTGTGATTAAATGATAATAAGACGTCGCGTCATTCAATTGGGTCTGCAATCATGCTCGTGATAAACAAATCGGACTCGCGCTGCGCGGTCGTCCGATTTTGTTATCACTCGTCGGAATTGGACTCCACTCAGTCTTATTACCATTACTTAGTGAAAAGCCAAAGGAAAACGAAAAACAAAACAATAAAAAACATATATATCTCAAATTCAGCTGAATGCTCCAAAGCAGATCACTGAAAATGACTGAAACAGCAAAGAAACACACTATTTTCATAGGGCGTAAACACCTAGAGTCCATTTAATTGAACCACACAACCTAATTTATAAACTGTTGATGAGTTTTGCCTTAATTTCCTGATCAAAAACGTTGAAAACCATGATTTTAATTATCAGCCTCGTTTCCATACTGATGAAGGTTGTCGAGAGTTGAAATCCCCTGCCTTCTCCCCCTGGATCATTGGCACCCGTGGTACCAGGCAAAATTTGTTTCTTACACAAACAAGATTCTTTGTGCCAAATTCCACGCTTTCTTCCACTCTGTAATTATCTTGCCTTAAAATCACCCTAAGCCACCTCACAAACTCTCGGACAGGCCGCAAACTAAGTAAAGACAAGCGGCAGAAGCTCGCATTTTCACATGAATTCTTGAACATCTAGAATCTTGGACATAAACGTTTATATACATTCTAGCACCCTTCATTCTTCATACTGTTTAAATAAAGTGTTGATTGATTGATTGATTGATTGATTGATTGATTGATTGGGTGGTTGGTTGGTTGGTTGGTTGGTTGAAGTATCGTTTTCGATGAATCACAACAAGAAAACAGTTTGACTCTTACCTCCTCGAGTTTCTGAAGAAGGCTTGCGTACAATGTACGTTCCCGAGCGTTTAACAGGCATACCCTCGCTTCTTGAATCATGTTGCATTTCAGGAACTGATCGGCTGCTCGGAGAAATTCTTCCTTCATTCGTTTTGGTTCACTGTGAAGACTTCGGGCATGGTCGGCTTGCACGAACGCTTTACACCTTTGGCTCATTTCTACATTACCAGAAATTGAGAAGCACTTTTCTGCAACTTTCCAGAGCTTCTTGCTGTAGAAGAAAGTCCCTTGCTTTTCCCATTCCTCTACGGACGATTCCTTGGAAAACATATTTTCCAAAGACTGTGCACCATCAGAGCCTTTCCCGGTGCCCGCTTCTAGTGTTACCACATCTGCCAAGCCGAGCTGCTCAAAGTACTCAAACACTGGCCGACGATTTTCTTCATCTTCGTCAAAGAACCAAACCTTTGCACGGGCTCGAGTCACAGCTGTGTAAAGCTGTTTCAATTCAGAGTTTAGGATCTTGTGCTTGTCAGGATTGAAGCTCAATGGACGCGACTTAACTTTAGCTTTGTCGACACTCTCACA